AAAACAAATTTTAGCCTGTTAACTTTTTTCATCAGTCAAATTTCATGGCCACTCTGGCTATTTGCTATTCCAGTGTAGTCATGACCTTAGCAACAGAAAATTAAATAATTAGCATAAAATCTGTGGCAAAAGATGAAAGTGCTGGTGTAGTTGTGATTGCTGGGAAGATTGTTGTTATAATCTGATGATCTACCACAATATTAAAGCATTTTTGGTGGGGATGACCTCATGCAAAGAGGTACATTTCAAACCTGTCTATTGTATATGTGGTGGTGTTGTAGCTGTGTGTAGAGCTACTAAAATAGATTTAAATTCATTGTATTTCTAGTGCACACAGGTAAAGCACAAATATGGGAAGATCAGAAAAGCTGGAACTAGATGATCTTTAAGGTTAATTCCAACCCAGGATATTCTATGATCCTATAAAATGGTGAGGCACAACTGAAGGTTATTAACTTTGAAAAGTCTCTTTATACATGGCTATGCATGGTGACAGTGACACTGGCAAGAAAGTTAGAAAAGCAGTCCAGTTTTATATCTGTATTCTGGGAGGAACATATATAAAGTAGTTAGATTATGGTGTAGAGTTTTATGAAGTCTTACTGGTTCAGTTTGATGTGACCTGTACAGCTCAGGCACAGAAAAGTCACACAGAAACTACTGAAGATTTTTGCAACACACTCCACCTGCCCACACCCCCTTTCACCCCAATTCTGCTCTATACAGTGTGTGAGCACAAACACAACCCCAGTATTTGTAATGTTTTATATTATTTTTCTCTAAGACAGCCACTATTTATATATATATGTATATAAAATCTTCCTTAATCTAAGACATACAAGTTTTTATATCTTTCCTCTGCCTGGAATTTTCTGGTCTTCACAATTTTATTTTCTTCTAACTTCTGCGTTGAGAGACACTCCATAAAACCAAAAGAACTGGCTTTACAGTATTTCTGCGTCATTAAGGAATCTTCCAGTAAAAATCCTATGCATGTGTTCTTGCTCATGCATAACTGAAGAAGAATTATGCTTAAACCTTTAGTTTGAGAGAGCCTTCCAAATAGTACTCCTACTTTCAGGTTTAAATTTCCAGGGAACCTAACAGATTTGAACACCTAGTTCTCATTAATTTTTTTATGGGAACTGGACAAACCTATCCCACAGGCACATTGGCAAACACTAGGCTTGCATTTCATCTATTTCATTGCTCTGTCTTGGAAAGCATGAAATAAAAATGAAACAAAGTAAAAATAGGAAAATTAGAAAGAGACTTACTTATATATATATAATTGGTTTTAATTACAAATATCCGGAGAGCTGCCAGAAAGTAGAGTAAGAGGTGGAGTTCTGGGGCAGAAACTTCTTGTTTGCCCAAACCCATAGAGGTACTCTTCAAACATGTAATGTTCATCCATGGTTAGTGTTGAAAAAAATGAGTGTGAAACGTATACATGGTATGCTAATGAGAACATATCTATATATCTGTATATCTGCATCTATTTATATGTCTATCTATCTATCTATCTATATGTACATATGGACTAACTGAGACAATGGAGATTAGATTTAAATAAAAAAAATGTTATGATTAATTCTTTGAGCCAAGTTCCATTTTACCAACTCTACCTTGTCTGGAAGATCAAATCTGTAAGTTTATCATTTTTTATTAACCAAATAAGTGAACTAGTCTAGTCTTTAATTATGATTAAAACTTTGAGACTGGAGCTCAAATTTAGTTGTAATTTTTCTATTTTTATGCTGTTTGTACTTCATTTTTTTTATCTACGTGATGTTAACCTACATACAGTTGTAGTGTGTAACAGTCTATTTACCAGATAGGTGGAGAGAGACTTTCTTACAAGGACATGTAATGATAGAACAAGGGGGGATGGTTTTAAATTGAAACAGAGTAGGTTTAGATTAGATATTAAGAAGAAATTCTTTACTGTGAGGGTAGTCAGGCACTGGAACAGGTTTCCCAGAGAAGCTGTTGGTGCCTCATCCCTAGAAGTGTTCTAGACGAGGTTGGATGGGGCTTTGAACAACCTGGTCTAGTGGAAGGTTCCCTGTCCATGGCATGGGGGTGGAACTGAAGGATCTTTAAGGGCCCTTCCAACACAAACCATTCTATACCTTTATGAACTCTAAGCTTCGTAGTTGTTTTTCTTCCTTATATAATGTAATTCTGAGAAAAGCTTATCATTGGAATATTCAAAAACTAAAATTTAAGGGTTAAAAATCTAAATATCCACAAATCACATAAATGATTAATAGTCTGAAGACAATAGATGAGGAATTCAAATACATCTGTACGTACATGATAATATAGAAAATATTCAGGGGCCATAAGTAATTATCAGATGACTTATGAATCTATGCAGACTCATAAAAAACTTGTAAAGTTCCAGTAAGTGTTTTGCAAATAACTGATGAATTAAAAATCATTTGCTTAAAAGTTTAGCTCCAAAAAATGTGTAAAGCAGACAGAATAATTTCTAGCATTCAGGTGAGGATTCAGCTTGAAGTGCTGTAAAGTGATACTTTAATTGTTTTCAATGGGACTAATTTTTACTGCCAAAGGACCTGTTTCATAAAATCTGTATTTAGCCTAAATAATTTCCTGCAGCATGGTACAACCAAATACTTTGATAATGCATCAGAGAGCAGATTAATGTCTATGTGGTAAGAGAAGCACTAATAACCTTGAAAATTAATATTGTTTTATTTTTCATAATATGATGTTCAGGTAAGTGCAAAGTCTATGGAACTTAGGTCTTCAGTCTAATGAGATTACTTCAGTATTCAAAAGTGATTGTGCTATACAGGTCCTTGGATTTTTACTAACTTTTTTCCTTTTAAATCATAATGATATAGTTAACATGGTTTGCCAAGACATGCCACATATGCTTAATTTTTTCTTTAAAATATTATGACTGGACACTTACTTTTCCAACCCGCAGAAATTTCAAGTTATTTGACAGTACTTCATACAATGACATTTGGCATCATGGTATCAAACTGGTACCTAAGGATCTCCATTTTCCTACCGATTCATAGGATCAAAACAGTTCACAATTTGTGTTTTCAAGATCTGGTGGTTCAGTTCCAAATTTTACATAACATTGCATTGTAGGTTTTAGCTGAATGCTTTGTTCCCCACCGAAGCATTTTGTTGTCATGACAAAACAAATATTTCTATTTGACTTGGTACATTCACCAATCAGTTTAATATATTTTTTTCATGTAGGGTAGCAGGGATTTAAGTCTGAAAATGTACCATAATGCATGACTAGGTGATTAAAAAAATATTTTTTCTTAATGTGAAGTTTTTAGAAATCCAGCTCCATAACAGTATACTGTAATGTTAATTTTACTCAGTTTAGATTAAATTAGGGCCCCCTGGTGGTCTAGTGGTTAGGATGCAGCACTCTCACTGCCGCGGCCCGGGTTCGATTCCCGGTCAGGGGACTTCTCCGGGCAGATGGAGCTTGTCAGCCCTGTAAGGCCATCCATCTGAGAGAAGGTCACTCTAAACAAACCTGCGTCCTGAGGACCTCCCTGCCACCGTCCAAGCTCGCTCGGCCCCGGCAGATGAACCTCAGGATTAAAGGGTGGGCTCAGTTCAGCGCACACTGTGTCTCACCTAAAAAATCCACTGCGCAGGCTCGAAGGGTAAAAGACCTTTCCCAAATCTTCGTTCGCGAAGACTGGCCATGATGATGAGATTAAATTACCAGAAGTTGAAAAAAAGATGACAAAGTTCAGTGTTCGATAGTTTTGTGTCAAAATGAAAAGATGGTGTGTGTCTGTCCCAGTTGACCCATTCAGGGAAACAGCTTCTCTGAAGGTCTATTCCATATTTTCATTAATAACTTAAATGAAATAAAGGGCGTAGCCACGCAATTGACAGATGACACAATATTTGTAGAGTTTGCAAGTATTCTGGAGATCCTCATAGGTCAGAGAAAAGTTTCCAAATCTGATTAAATTTAATGATGACATATACAAGTACCACGCTTGGCAATGATGTTATATGGGCAGTTATAAAAGGAGGAAGAGCAATGCAAGAAAGAATACAGAAAAGTACAGACGTGCCATAATCTGAATTAAGGTTTATAAGATGTTGCCAAGAAATGTAAGTGTCGTTCTGGGAATGGTTCATGGAAAATTGACAGCTCTGAGTGATATTTTTACTTCTTTCCTCAGTCTTGGCAAGGCTTCAGCTAGAAATTAGGTTTGGGCACCATTCTCTCAGAGAAAACAATCAGAAAAGAGCAACAAAGTGATCAGAGATTTAAAGACACATGAGAAAAGTTTTTGTCTTGAACTGAAAATTGGATTTGTATACTCTAGAAAGGATGGTGCAGAGGATATGGTAATGATCTCTATGAAAATGTGCAGGTATTATAAAAAGAATATATTTATCCACCATCACTGTGGGATAAATTTGACTTAATTTAAAACCAAGACAGTTAAAAAGTAAGTTAAAAAGTAAGTTAAAAAGTTGAAAGCTAAAAAGTAAGAATGATTCAAGTTACTCCTACCTGAAAGTAGAGTAGATTGACCAAATGACTGACACATTGAATTACCTTTTTAATGAATTACTAGTAACAGAAAAATAGCAAATTGATATTTGGTCTGGATTTAAATATGTATAGAAGCTTTTGTTGTGGGTTTTTTTTGGGGGGGGAAGAATTTTTACTACTTCCAGCCCTTCAGAATGAAAATAGGACAGAGAAATACCTGCATTTCTGCAGTACACAGATGTGAAGTTTTGTGGGGTTTTGTGAAGTGCATTAGTGTGCTGACTAATGGGACTACTTCTTGAAACGCTGGTTTTCTCTCCTTTCATTTTTGCTGACAGATGATACATTTTTCTGTAGCTCTTGGAACTAAAAGCTTTTCATTTAATGACTAAAAATGTACTTGCTTGGAATACTATGAGCTTGCCATTCTGAGAACATGATGACAATGATACGATTGTGATGTAATTACAGCATGTACAGCCTTGGGAAGTGATCTCATTTTCTGAAAACCATAGGTCTGTGTAACAATTACAGTACAGTCTCTAAACTTGCATTTACGGTCGGGAAAAGGGAAAAGTTTTTAGGCTATGCAGATGCCAATAATCAGACTGTAGTTATGTTTTAGGGCATCCTGCTACCCTTTTCAAAACATGAACTTGAGGGTTCTGAATTGTTAAAAATACTGACCGCAAGAGCTTATTTTCTAGATAATTTTCTCTGTATTGGTAGGTGAATAAAATAAGTAGGGAAGATAAAATGTTTCTGGTACATGAACGTAGGTAACTTCTTCTAGCATTTTTGTTTTGTTTTTTTATTCCCCAGGAATATATTCCACTTGCCATTTGGAGAGGGAAAAATGCAAGAGCAGAAGCACTTCTGAACCTTGGTCCACATTATTGAAGACCACTGTTGTGAAAGCAACTGTAAAGAGATCATTTAAAGTCGAGCAGTGATACTGCTCACCATGTCATTCTTCTGCTTGTTCTTTGCTGTATTAAACTGGGGGTCTTGTTTAACTTAAATATCTACAGCCAGGAAGACCATTGACTTAGTTTTGATAACAAAGACAGGGAAGAAGAAACAGCCCCTCTGAGCATGTAGGGCCTTCTAAATAGCTAGAAACCTTTCACATAAGTAGAGCAATAGATAGTATGGCATAAAAAAGTATGACACAGTGCTGTTTAGAACAACAAGCGAAGTGAGGCACACAAAGGCATGACCTTGTGTTGAGTAACCTACTCCTTATGCAAGTAATTTTCATTAAAATAAGCTGATGAATTTCAGGGAAGAATTTCTGTAAATATTATTTTATTTTTAATTAATTCACTTCAGCATTGTATTTTCTGGTTGTGTTTGTCTATGAATATTCTAGTGAACCAGAATTAGAGTGCAGGACTGTACTTGTGTAGTTATTTAGCTATTTTTAATGCTGCATAATGCTTAGGGAAGATGAGTCTTGTACATGTAACCAAAACTAGTCATGGCAATTCAAATATATTGCAATTGGAAACCTCATCAACTGCAGATAAATGGAAAACAAACAAAAAGTATTGTAGGAACCAGATCTCCCCTTTTAAAATGAGTGAGAATGCTAATGTCATTCTTCAGTACCACCTTTCCTCCTTTGAATTATTCTCTGGAATTAAACTGAAGCAGCTCAAGAGTTTGTATTTCTGTAGTCCCCCAGTCAAAGTCTTTTACTTATGATTTCCTTGAAATGAGAGGGAAGATAATTTTTTCCCATGTTTCTGTTCTCTTCTTACCATATTCATTCATTTTACTCAAAGAATTGGCAATTGTTCATACTTCAAACTGCTCTGAGTGGGGAACAACCCTCAGGCAAGTGCATGTGAAAGGTAAGAATCTTTGAGTCTCCTTTCCATTTACACAATCTCCTCAGAAGTCCTATCCTAAAATCATGTAGACCACTTCATCAAGTTGGTGAAAATGAATTTGCTCTGTGATTTTTGTGACATAAAGATAAAAGAAATGAAACTAACTGGTTACTCTTCATCTGTCATGCCTGTGCCAGCAACAACTAAGATGAAGATAAATGATGAATTCTTTAATGAACAGTTCTTTAATGAGGTAATCAGTACACAAAATGTTGTGTGTTTTTCTTGTTTGGTTGGTTGGTTCAGCTGTGTTGCTATACTTTTTCTTTGCTGTCTCCATATGGACTCTGGTGAATTATATAATTGTTCAGTAAACTAGTTTGAAGCTTTGGCTTCCTCTACATTCAGGTGGTTCTGATCATCTTACTTAATATCTAACTGCAAATGTGACTTCTGCATAATATAATGCAATGCTCCAGAAAGAGTTTTGCTAATATTAAGTTGTAAATTTTCTAAATTTTTCCAACTATACAAAGTCTGTGTTGCATTCCTAGAAGTAGATTGTGGGTAAAGCTAAGTTTACACCTCATGCTACATCTTTTATTTGTTGAAGCCTTGATCAGTTGTCTATAGTGCTCAAATTATTTGTCAGATAGTAGAGAAAATAGGAAGGAAAACAAAAGACTAAAGTCTTCTGTCATAAGACAGAAGCAACAGAGAGGTAGAACATGAGCTTAAAATGTCTGATAATTTCCTGAAGAGTGTCAACTGTCTCAGACATCACTGTCTTTCACCATTTCCTGCTACAGTCTCTGCCTGTTCCCCCATTTTTTGGGAGACATTTCCACTTTTGTGAATGAAAGAAGCAATCTCTTCCCTATTCAAAGAAGTAGGTTGTGTTTGTGACATCTACCTGAAGGCCACTTTCATATTGCTCCATGATAAGGAAAGAGCAGAGGAGAAAAATAAAAGAACAAATACCAAACAACAAAGAAAGAGGGAAAGAGGCAATGAGTGATAAAAAATGATGAGTCAATCTGAATGGGGGAATATCCTCTTCAGATGTAGGCAAAGAGATTAATTGGATGTGGTAAGGATGAGATATCAGTGCCGCTAAGAGAAAGCAGGAAAAATTATACTATCTGAGGACATCATGATGGGAACAACAGAACAAAGAAATAGGGAAGTAATAGGATGAGATCAAGAAATGGAACTATGAGACCTTATGACTGCTTGATTGAATTGGGAGAAAATATCTTTTGTCTGGAAATTGCCAGGTATATGTTAAAGCAGCAAGGGCAAAATTACCATGTAGTACAGAAAACAGTTTGCAAGAAAAATGGTGAAATCCTGGGTCCACTAAAATTCCAAGGGATGTCTGTCATATAATTACAACCCAGAGATATGAGTTCCCCCAGTTTATTGAATGTTTACCTATAGATTTGTTTATCATAAAATGATTCTCATTCGCAAATATTGCTGTAAATTTGGATCCTGAAAATTTTATTCATAGAGTTAATCCTATATTTTCATAGAATTTTATGGAATTCTTAACAAGACAAACACAATTCAAACTCAGTCAGGAGAGCAGATAGATTCCTTAATATGCGAAATCCACCTTAGTGTCATTTTTTAATCTAATCTAGGGCTGGATCACAGTTAATTATGACCACCTAAATGCTTGCTTGCTTTCAACAGCTGCAGGTAGAGTTTTTTTATAGTTGGTCTGACTCCAGGAATAGGTCAGAGATCAAACTGTGTGCATAGCTGACACATATCTCATGACTCACCTTGCTCATTCTTAGAAGCCATGTATATGATGCCTTATATCATTATGGTGATACTTATACTGTGGAACACTTAAACTGATTGATTTTTCATTATGGCAAAGCACCCACTTGCCAGATTCCATTACCTTACATTCTTCTCTGAGGATGTAAAAGATATATCTGCCCAAATTTTCACCACGGGGTTAATGTTGCTCACTTCCCCCACCCCCAGAGGTTAACTCCAGGGTAGGCACTAAATAGTCCAAGAATGATCTGTCTTTCCCTAATTTTAGATTTCGGCTGTGGATGTGTCTTCTTTTGACTCTGATTTTTTGCCTAAATCAACAGTTGCTTTGAGAATATACTTGGCAAATTATGCAATCTGAAAATAAATTTTGAACTGTAGTTACAACATAGCAGTTAAATCTCTGAAAAGGGATTATAATTGAAAGGTAGTTTTTATGAATATATTAGGCTTGTTTATGACATGAGCAAAATAAGAGCAGATCAGAAAATATTCAGAACTATGCAAGAAATAAGTTGTAGAGAAATTTACCCCTAGTTCTTTATGAGTGATGTGTGGAAGTCCTCTCTGGCCTGAAAACTCAGAAACATTAAATGTGATTCACAAAATTCAAGCAAACATAAATTTGTGTCTAATTTGCTAATACTGTATGTAAATTTATTAGGGAAAATTTCTTATTTTAGTCACCTGCTCCAGGGAGCAGCAAGAGCCCTTGGTTAAAGGGATCTGGTCTAGTCCAGAAGAGGATAGTTCAGTGGAAAAGTATGAGGTGGTCCATTGAAGAGTATGAGTCAAGAGCTGAGAGCAGCTGTGGCATGGGCAGGGCAGTGTCCTCTCTGACAAAGGTACAGCCCTACTGCATCAAGGCAGGGCCATGAGAGGGACAGGGTCCATCAGCAGTCCCAGATAAGATGAGATAAAAGTCTGGGGTGATCACTGAGATTCCCTCAGGAGTGATAGGAGACAGGAGTGGAAACAAAGCTACTGCAGCATATGCGCGAGGTCTGTCCAGGAACCCCTGGAACCAGCACAGCAGGTGGCAGGTCTGGCCTCAGGGAAACCTGCAATGTAGCTCAGGGCAGGTCTATGTGTCCTGGCATGAGCTTCAGTGAAAGCTCCACGCCCATGGGAAGAGTGGATGGGTGAAGATTCAGGTGAGGCTGCTTAGGGCAGCTAAAGCCTATTAGTGTACTCTATGCCCTTAAAGTGTAAATCCAAAGTAATCCAATTCACTTCAAAGCATAAGCAATGGAATTTACAGTAATCAGTCTCTCTCAGTGAAGTTTTCAAGCCTGCTATGTGTTAAGAAATGGTTTTGAAAAAATATGAATAATATAATAAATATTTATGTTTTTCCTTATTGTGTAAAATAAATATTATTGATGGACTCCAAATCTTAAAAAAAAAAACTACTTGATATTTAAAAGATTAAATTATGAAATTAGATTAATATTAGAAATGCTGCAATATGTCAATTTGTGATATTTGTGAAGCCATATTTTACTCCCATTAATCCATATTTCATAAGAATTCAGATACATTGTATCCCAAAGAGACTTTCATTGATTCCTTTTCCAAATTAAAATATCTAAAATATAATTCATTTTATATGTAAAGACCACATTTATACACATATGAAGGGGTCTAGCTATGCAGATCGATGCTCAGTGTAATTTGCAATGGCAAGTAATGTTCATTAAACAATGCTTTTAGAAGTCAGCAAGTTAGGTATCTACTCTAGTGGGTTCTTTCTAAAATCTATCTACATCTTTATTCACTGTAACTATATTTATTAGACCATTCCCCTTGATTTTAATCTTTATACAATTTATATTTTATGCATAGCCTGATAATTCTCCAACATACTTCTGACAGTATTTTCTCTTGTTGCCTTTCAATACTAACCCTTTATTTTTTTCTCTGACAGGATATTATCCAAGACTTACTATCTGTCCCCAACAGAAGCCATGTGAGTTTGACTTGCTGACTAATTCCAGAAACTTAAGCTACAGCAAGCTACAATAAGCTAAGTATTGAAGCTACAATAAAATATTAATGATAGCCGAGAGTGATTGAGACTGATTAATGCACATACTGAAGAGTTGAAATCATAGAATCATAAAATGGTTTACGTTGGAAGGAACATTAATGATCATCCAGTTCCTACACCCCTGCCATGGGCAGAGACACCTTTCACTAGACCAGGTTGCTCAAAGCCCCATCCAACCTCGTCTCGAACACTTCCAGTGATGAGGCACTGGAAGGCATCTGCAGCTTCTCTGGACAAGCTGTTCCAGTGCCTCACTACTCTCAAAGTAAAGAATTTCTTCCTAATAGCTAA